GTCTTTCACACGTGCGGGATTGTTCTACGCACGTGCGGACTCACCCCGCATCAAGCACGCACCTGCATATAAAGCAGGGGTTGCATTAGACTCAGAAAGTTTTGTCGCACGTGCGGAGTATTTTTTTTTTGAAGAAGAAGAAGAACGACATTTCGCATGTGCGGGGTCCAGGCCGTACGTGCGACATGCAAGCCGCACCACACCACGCACCTGCAATTAATGCAGGCTAAAAAAAAAATTCATATTATTTTTATTTATTTTTCAAAGAATCTTCGCACGTGCCAGAGTGAACGCCGCACGTGCGGACGCACACCCTGCACATCCCCTGCGTACCTGCATTTAAAGCAGTGTGCCACTTTGTGGAATGAAATTTTGCCGCACATGCAGGATTTTTTTTTAAATGCAACCCAAATAAAATTTACAACGAACTACAACCCAAGTAAAAATTTCAAATCATTTCTACCTTAGTTTCGCATCCAAAGTAAATAAAGCATAACAAGAAGAACTACATGCTCACCAAAGGTATGATCTTCATGCGAAACCACGGGTACTACTTTTCTCCCTAACAGTGTTTGTAACTTTTCCTATTTTCTAACAGGGTGATAGACTAGGTTGATTCGGTATCCAGAATCAAGGCGCCTAAGGCTAACTTGACCTATGGGGTTGCCATATAGAGTTCAAGTCGGGGTGGTTTTGAAGCAATCTCCACACCCCTGGGTATTCAAACCAGACTTTAGTCTCAGAAATTAGCTTTATCTTGATCTCATGAAATTGAAGGGAAGAGTGAAGGTTTTGGGTCATATAAGTCGTATTCCAAACCCTAAATGGAAGAATTTAGCAAATCTTGGCTTGATTAAGGCTAACCTACTTGATTTTGCTTGAGCCCAAGTTAAGGTTTTATTGAACATAGAATTTCTTTAAGCAAGGCATTCACCTTCACAACCGACTCGTTAATATCAAAATTTTCAAACCCAAAATGTGCTAGACAAGCCTCTAGAGGGTCCTCTACAAGAATGGAGGGCAAAGCTTTCTCCACAATCCCATCCACAACATCCACAAATAAGCACTCCTCTCTCTTATGCGGTTGTTAGGATGCTTGGAAAACATTAAGTTTCACTTGCATGTTACCAAATGAAACTTTCATAACCCCGGTATGACAATTTATGCATGCATTGGCCATAGTTAAGAAAGGTCGACCTAAGATCACCGGGATTTGTTTCCTAGAATTGGCTACCGGTTCCATATCTAACACCAAAAAGTCAACAGGAAAGTAAAACCTATCAACCTTTACTAGCACATCCTCAATCATGCCACGTGGCACTTTGAGAGACCGGTCAGCCAACTGGAGAGTAACAGTAGTGAGCTTCAACTCGCCAAGCCCAAATTCCTCGTACACAGAGTACGACAACAAATTAATACTAGCCCCTAAATCTAATAAGGCCCTATCAATGAAATGGTCCCTTATTATGCATGCAATGGTTTGGGCACCAGGGTCTTTAAGCTTAGGGGGTGTGTCATTCAACAAGATGAAGCTTACTTGCTCCGTGAGTATAACCTTCTGGGACACGTGTGTCCTAGATTTATGCTTTTGCGTACAAAAGTCCTTCAGAAATTTAGTATAGGAGGGTACTTGCTTAATTGCCTCCAACAGGGGGAGGTTGATTTTTACTTGTTTAAAGACCTCCATCATCGCTTCCATGGATGCCGCTCTCTTATTAAAAGGGGACGGTGTATCAAGGCATTAGGGAAAGGGTGCCCTAAGCACATATGGTGCCTTGGGCTCATTTGAAGTGCTAGGGACTAAGTCATCCCTCTTAGGTGTTTCCCCCTCACCCTTTCTCTCATTGGGTGGACCACTGTGGTCACCCTTTTTAACCTTAGTTGCATCAGACGCAACTGGCTGAGGCTCTAACTCCCTCTCACTTCTCAAGGTAATCACAGCTTGCCCCTGCTCATGGTGTTTTCCATTCCCACCTGAACCCTCTGCCCCATATTGACCCTTAGGGTTGGCCACTATCTGACTCGGTAATTTTCCCTCCTCTCTTCTATTCATGTTGTTAGTCATTTGACCTAATTGGGCCTCTAGCTTAGCAATGGAGTGAGTGTGGGAGTGAACTACTGGTGCTAACCCCTTAAGTTCCAAGAGAACTTCTAATACCTGAGTCTCAAAGGCAGAGTTGCCTTGAGGAACATGTGAGGGTTGTGGTTGCCGGTAAGGTTGTGGTGGTTGGTAAGGTTATGGTGGCTGATAGGAAGATTGGTTGGCAAAATTATTAAAATTCTGCCTTGGTGGTGGAGGGTTGTAAGAAGTGCCTTGTGAAGGAGGTCTCCATGAAAAATTAGGGTGATTTCTCCAACCCAGATTGTATGTGTTAGAGTATGGGTCATTACCCGGGTTGGAGAATCCTTGAGCCGCATTCATATGCTCTTGGACTGACTTCGGAAATTGTGATGTCGAAGGGCACTCACTTAAGTCATGAGCAGGGCTCGCACAAATAGCACACACCTCGTGAAATTGAGGATGATCTTGCTGTGGAGGGGCATGTCCCGCAACTAATAATTTGTCTATTTTGTAGGACAATGCCTCTACTTGTTGAGCTAACTCTAGGTTTTGCCTGACCTCATAAATGCCCCCTCTCTTCAGGACTCCAACTACTAGTTGCCGAACTTGCCGGGCTGCAGAGGCATGGTGAAGGGAATTATTACTTAGGTTCTCAAACAATTGCCATGCCTCGGCATCATTTTTGGACATGAATGTCCCACCACATGATGAATCCACCATTTGGAGATGAGGCTCAGTTAAGCCATAATAAAATGTTTGAACAAGTTGCCAATCAGGCACATGGTAGTGGAGACACTGTTGGAGAAGGTCACGAAGTCTCTCCCATGTTTCATGAAATTGCTCGCCATCAATTTGAGCAAAATTGGTGATGACTCGCCTAAGTTGGTTGGTTTTACCGATAGAAAAGTACTTCTCCAAGAACCGTTGCTGTAATTGGTCTCAAGTTGTGATTGAATTAGCAGGTAAGGAATTTAGCCAGTGTTTGGCTTTGTCCTTTAATGAGAATGGAAACAATCACAACATTAAGGCCTAATTTGTGAAATTCTAGATCCTCACTGTAAAATAAATTTTCAGAAATTCATTCAAATGTTTATAAGGATCATCACAAGCTAGTCCATGGAATGATGGGAGCATTTGTATGGTGCCGGACTTAATCTCATAATGAGCAGCAGTGGTGTCGGGTAATTGGATGCATAATAGTGATGTATATGCGGTGGGTGTGAAATAATCCTTAAGGGGTCCGGTTAGGCCCGTTCGGGACATTTGGATTTTCCATCTCTAATGGATCAAAGTATGGATATGAATATTCAAGCCTAGGAACACGGGCAAAGACTCTAAGTTTCCTAAGAGTCCTTTCTAGTTCAAGGTCCAAACTCCACAATTCAGGGTGACAAGAATGGTGCCCGTGCATACACTACTCACTCATGCACACTAAGTTCCGACTCTGTGTACTAAGTTATGTAAGCAAAAATACCAAAAAAGAGTATTCTCACAGCGATTTAACGAAAACGCTTTACTCGTCTTGCGGGTGCTTGACGTGTAGACATTATCTCCAACCTCTAATTGGGCTTTGTCTTTCTTTGTAGCACTTTGGTGCCTTACTTGCGAGTGTTTGCTTCTTTTTTTAAGCACTTTAGTGCTGCGGTTTTTTTTTTTTTTTAAAGCTCAGTTGGCTCTGCATGCACTTCTGTGATAGCTTCCGCTTTCAAACGCTCTGCACACTTAGCAATACGAAAAGCATAAAATCCTAAACTAAAAATTAAAATAAGAATATAACTTTAAATTAATTAATTTTGCCAGAAGTCCCTGGCAACGGCGCCAAAATTTGATGGGTCGTCACACATACAAAAAATAAACACTAAACTATACCAAATTCTTTTAGAATAATGGCAAGTCCAAGTATCGATTCATAGGGACAATTGTGAAACTAGACTAATTTAATCACTAAATTTTTAAATTAATTTTGATTAAAAACATTGAGAGATTTTATGACTAAAAAGAAATTAAATGAAATTAAGAAATTAAATTGACAATTAAAAATTAGGGTTTGAGATATTAATTTTTTGGAAAAATCCTAGGGCAACGAGTTCATTACTAGTTGCATAAATAGGGTTTCACATTGAAATCAATTATGTCACGGTTCGAACGGAATAATGCTTCGCAACTATAAGTTCAAAGCATTTAACAAGAAAATCATCACGTTCAATGTACGGGCACAAACCATCTCAAGTAGTACGAATCGTTCACTCTAAACTAGGGTAGCGACACGACTCGTCTCTCGTAGTATGGTTCGTC